TTGGCTCGGTGGTTGTGTTCCAAGGAATGATCCAGGACGTTTAAATCTGAAAAGACATCAAATTATTGATTTGACCATTCAAAAAAGGTTTCAATTCAAGTTCAAAAAGTTGCAATTAACTTTTGGTATGCGGACGCTATTCAAATACACAGTAAAAGACTCTGTCCTTAATGTCATTGATGTATCAAGAACGGATTCAAAATTTTTCTATTTGTCAAAATATCCACTGTCCATTTCTTAGTAATAAACAACCAATATAATCCACTTTCTTTAATAACTATAATGAAAATAATTAAACTTACCTCGAGTATGACATTTTGCTTTACAGCCCTTTACAGAACACACCCAATATATTATTCCATCTTTCAGGTCTATACGTTTTCAAAATTTATTATCATTTATAACAAGCATTTGCTGGCCACGTTCACTTAAAACAAAATCAGTTACTAACTCCATAGGTAATTTTTTTTTCCGAACGCTAAAAGGTTTAGATAAAAACTGGTATGAGCCAATTGAGCTATTAAAGCATACATAGAACAGACTTAATTGTACGGATGTGCCGTATAAATAAGTCACCCCAATAGTCACCCCTTTTACCCAAGTAAGATAATGTTGTTTTGATTGGTTTTGAAAATTGTATTTTGACAAAGGTAATTAAGAATGTGTTACAATTGGCAAATATGAAAATAAGTACCTATCTCTAATTTAAATTGAATGTAAAACTGCTTATGATTTTAAAACCAAATCATAATATGTAAAAGCTTTTAACGGATTAATATGAATGTTTTGCATTTGGAGGTCTGAAAATTTGGTACCACAATAATGCAAAAATTATGCAAAAATTTGTATTCAACAGAATAATAACATTCCGTTTGCCCGCCAATTATTTTTGTTACCTACCAATATAAAATAAAAAAACATTACTCATAAAAATTTAATTTTATATGGGCAATTTTAATTTTTTTTACTTATTTCTTTTTTGAAACATTATTTGTTATTTTTTTAAGTATTTTCATGAGTAGATTATAAACTTATTTATTTTTATTATTTTAGGTTTTGATAACGACTTTGTTGCTGAAACTGATCTCATCATTTTTGCTTAACCTATTGTTGAGTGCGTATTCCATTTATAATAATATACTTCATTACGTAATAAAAAGGGATCAAAGTATCTAGGGTTTTCCCAATAAAAATTGGTTTTAAGCTTTTAATGAGTTTCTTTAAATTAGAATATTAAGGGATTATTATTACAAAGTGGTTCCAGGTCAAAGTGCTGAATTGGCCTGTCTCAAAAGGGTCGCTTTGAAAAGGTACCTGCCTGCCTGGTGCTCAGTTGGCCGGTCTACATTTATTACATCTAGAGCTTGGTGCTCAATTGGCTCATACCCCTGTATTCGAGTAAGACCATTATTACGCGGTATTGGAAAAGTCAGTTTTACACAGTATCTTACAAAGTATTTTACACAGTATTTAACAATGTATTTTACAATGTATTTTACAATGTATTTTACAATGTATTTTACAAAGTATTTTACAAAGTATTTTACAAAGTATTTTACAAAGTATTTTACAAAGTATTTTACAAAGTATTTTACAAAGTATTTTACAAAGTATTTTACAAAGTATTTTACAAAGTATTTTACAAAGTATTTTACAAAGTATTTTACAAAGTATTTTACAAAGTATTTTACAAAGTATTTTACAAAGTATTTTACAAAGTATTTTACAAAGTATTTTACAAAGTATTTTACAAAGTATTTTACAAAGTATTTTACAAAGTATTTTACAAAGTATTTTACAAAGTATTTTACAAAGTATTTTACAAAGTATTTTACAAAGTATTTTACAAAGTATTTTACAAAGTATTTTACAAAGTATTTTACAAAGTATTTTACAAAGTATTTTACAAAGTATTTTACAAAGTATTTTACAAAGTATTTTACAAAGTATTTTACAAAGTATTTTACAAAGTATTTTACAAAGTATTTTACAAAGGATTCAGAAAATATAAAAAATATAAAAGTATTTTGTAATGAACAATCAACATATCACGTAACAGATAAAATAAATATAGACAGACCCAATGGAGGCCATTCTTATTTAGTAAAAATTATAGTGCTCATGTATATTACAAAAACAATTTTCTAACAAGAATTCTTTAAGTTTTTTCTTAACGTTGTTCTATAATTTGGAATTCTTAGCAAATTACCATGCCTGGTTTGGTAATTATGATTAGCAAATTTTTTTCTTAATTCATTGAATTTTCTATTAGGCTTTATAGATGTATATAGAATTCAGTGTTAAAACATCAAATTGATGAAAATATGTACAGTCTGTTCGCTATACTTACGCGGGTTTCGGATTAAAAATTTTATGAGTATTTCCAGGTAAGTACCCGAAAGTTTGACTCTTTGGGGAAATATCAACTGGTTAAATGAAATGAAAAATAATGTACAACTTTTTAATTAAATAATAATGGAGAATCTTTTGTATAATTGAGAGCAGAATTAAACTTCTTCATTAATGGAGTCTAATGTGACTGTTATAAACCTAATAATAATTTTATATTACACTTCACACAGAAAATATGGTCTATGTATAATAAGAGGGTTATTTAGCTAAAATAAAATATTTTCTAACATAAAAATTTGTTCCATGTAGAGAATTTGAAATGAAAAATAAAAAAATTGAACTTGCCAACAAAAATGAAAATCAGTCATTATCATCACCATTAATTGTTATTATGATTGGACTTATTTCGTTTATTTTATTTTCACGAGTCCACCAATCTTCTATTAGTTTCTCGCACTTGGATATACAGTTCCGCCACACTTCTGGAGTTGCAATTGAAAGTGTTTTTCGCCAAGTTTCCCGAACTGCATCGTCACTATAACCATTAGGCCCAATATGGTTGTTATAATATTGTTTTGCTATTCCCCATATATATTCGATGGGATTAAACTGGCAATGATACGGTGGCAGACGTAAAACTTGATGACCGTAACTTTCAATAATCTGATTCACAACAAAGGTTTTTGGTCTTGCGTGTATATTTGCTAAGCGTAATAATTCTGATTTTAATAAATATTGAGGAAATAGTATATGTTCCTTTGTCAACTATTCTTTAATTTTATCAACAGTCCAAGAATTCGTTGGACTTTTGTTTAATACTTTAGAATGGTAAGGTGCATTGTCTAAAATAATTACGCTGAGCTCACTTAAACCTGGGAGAAGTTTTTCATGCAACCATTTTACAAACATTTCTATATTCATATTATGGTGATAGTCACTGGATTTTGATTTAGATGAAAATATTGAATCAGCACCTTCTATAAAACCCGATTTCCCTCCTGCATGTAAAATTATGTGTCGCTTCCCTTCTCCATCGGTATGTTTGATGGACTTTACGTTATCATCTTGCCATATTCTCTTGGTTTATTGAAATAGTAAGTGTCAAGTTGCTTCATAAAAACTGAATTTAAATAATTATTTGTTTAGTTTTAATATATATGTTTCTGTGTTAAATTATACGATCTTAACCTTTAAATTGTCCGTTATTCGGAATTTCAATAATTCTTTATAGGAAGCGTTAACAAGGTAAAAACATATCGATTATTGTCTGGAAGGTTATAAATTGACCAATCAGATTTTAGGCTTCATTATGACGATGCTTAAAAATAATTGTGGCGCGCATTTCAAATTTGCTTGATTTTTTTTTTGTTTTAAAAAATTCTTGTAGGAAAATTTAAAAAGAGAAAAATTTAAAACAAAATATTTTTAGATTAGATTTTGTGCTAGCTTTTAGAAAAAAATATTTTTGAATTTCACTAAACACGTCCATTGTTTTGGTCGACGAAAAACAAAAGTAAAAATTTATCAAAAACTATTTAAGATCATCAATGGACCAACAGCGACTTGACAATTTGGGAATTATATCGTTAGAAAGTAATTTGTTGGATAATATAAATATGAATGCTCTTATTTATGAATTTTTCAGAAAGAAAGCGCATAAAGCTACTTTTATTTAGTGTTTTTGATTAGGTAAGTTTAGTTCTTGCTAAAAATTAATAGAAAATACAGAAACCTTATAACATCTAAACAAAACTAGATCTATATTTAAGAGTGAATGATTTTAAAACTTCATTTCGTATATCTAAGAATAGAAAACTTTTTATTTAAATATAAGTCTAGACAATGTCGGCCCTGTAGCTTAAATAGCTATAATAACCAATTTTGTGGTTTTTGCAAAGAGCAATTACGCTCTTACTTTTAAACATGAACGATGATTGGATGTCTCTCAAAGGCATAATTTTTTGATTTTTGATAAGCATAAAATTGTTGCCCGCGGCATCGTGCAATTGAATGATCTTTAAAGTGTGTGTTCAAGGCTAAAATCGTAAAACATAAAGTAAAAAGGACAGAGGGTAAAATAAAAATTATGTCTGCCTGAAAATGGCAATGACGGGATTATAAAATTTTAAGTGCAGCATATTTTTCACGTTATTATTTTTCTTGTACTGTATTGTTTCATGATCTAATTCTAAATTATATATTTTAAAAAGTACTAAATGAATTCTTAAAATTTTTATTTCGTATGATAGATAAAAGTTCATACAACATGATATTAACAGAATTGAATGTTTCTTTTTTTTTTTAATATAAATGCAGGTGACGATATGTGATGAAACTCATTTTATCTTTGACATAAAGTGACAGTTTTCATACCGGTCAAGAATTTGACAATGTCTTATTTTTGATAAGTAGGTAAGAAAAATAAAAATATACTAACTGTTTGTGCAACAAGAGTGGATATGATGGCCGTATCGCACGTAGATGAAAAATAATCTCGACACCGAAAGCGAAAGGCTCAATCGTCTAAGAGGGATATGAACAATCCACTCGAGTTCTACGACTAAAAGAAAATCTACAAAAATTTAAAACTAGTTTACTTTTCTCATACCATCAATTGTTTTATTAAACATAGAATCTTTTATAATTACCTTCGGGTGCTGTGCGTCAAAATCGGTAGATTCTCCTGTACCAGAACAAAGGTAGCTACCGTGGTATCGTTTACTTGACTACCGCATTCCGTGTGATTTATACGTAATGTATAAATATCTCTGGGACTGTCAGGTTCTCCATCAATGGCACACCGCTCACCATCAGTAGCTTCCACGGCGATTCTTCCGCCGAAGAACGGCCCCGTCGAGACTTCTATTTCGCTAGCATGCGGTAGGCATTGTGTGGCTTTTGCGGAAACTGAAAAGAAATATTTGTTTTTTAAATCGTGAAGGGAATTCAAGTGCTTAAATGTAGCCATCTTTGTCAATGAAGTAAATGACTTAAAATATCTACCACTATACTTATTACTGACCACTGAAGAAAATAGCCTCGCCTTAGATAAATAGTTTATCTGGAAGAGTGCAATAAATAACCTGTAATATTTAAATATTTTTAATGGGTGCAATATATTCAGATAAATGGAATATTCTGAGAAGCCCCAGCTGTCCCAAGTTGAATGTTTTAAGGTACACATTGGGAACGCGAAACTGATCAAGCAACAGCGACAGACGACCGATGCATTTACGTTTACATGTGATTCAGACGTAAAGATATCGTTTTCGGTCGCATTACGCGGTCGCTTGCCGCTGTATCGTGCCTCGCGTTCCTAAATGGCATCTTAAGTGATTCAGGTAAATTGGTGTTGTTTATTGTTTCTTATATGAACAATACATCTATTCTAGTTATAAGTTAACTAAACTACTTGTAACTAACTTTTAAGAAATGTTTAACTGTTGTACAAATTCCAAATATGTATCTCAGATAAATAACACAGACCAATTTTTAAACTTTAAAAGTTAATTTCGATCTGACATTTAATTCTGTATAATTAAGGCTTCTTAAATTTAAATCTTAGTTCCATTTTCCTCTATCACTCAAGGTTTTGTACCAACATTAAGAAAATAAATAAATGGCAATATTTTTATTAACGCAAGAACAAAAACCGAATTAAAAATTGTAAATTAAATGACATAGTCTCAAACAATAATTGATAAGTCCTTTTATTGTTGGAACATCTCTTCTTCTTGGACGAAAACATCGTTTAGTGGATTTTGTTGTATATTCCATGGATTGTCCCTTTTTAATGACCATGAGTAATCTACCATCATTGCAACGTGCCATCGATCTTCCATAAAATCAAATGGATCTTATCGGTTTTTTTAATTTTTCTCCGTTTTTTGCAGTTTGACCCCCAATTTTGACTTCAGATTCGTGTTCAGCGGTAAAAAATACGTCGGAAAATCTTTGTCGAACACCCAGCACAGACCACTTTTTTTTTGTGGACCTGTGTTACCGTCACTAAAGCTATGCCACTGGTTTTAGCCCAATCGGATTAGTATTTTAGATTCTGAAAAATTCGAAGCAGCAATTTTCCTTCGGAATTCATTGGAGGGGGTCTCTGGTAGTCTAAATTCAAAAAGTTGGGATTCCAAAGTTGTCGTTACCTCCGCCATCTTGATTTAAAGGGTTATTTTTTGTATCTTGAATAACTCATTTATTTTCAATTTTACACGGAAAATAGTTTTTACAAAAGTTATTTAAAATTAAATTTCCTACAATTCTGCTTTTTTTTGTACGATCGATTTTTTTCGATTTATACCCGAAAAAAGGGGGTGAATTTTTGGTTATAGAATAACTCGTTTATTTTCAATTTTACGAGAAAAATTGTTATAAACAAGGTTGTTTAAAATTAAATTTCCTACAATTCTGTTTTTTTTTGTACGATCGATTTTTTTGTATTTATCCCTGAGAAGAGTGGGGGTGAACCTAAGTATTGTATTGTCACGTTTATTATTGATGTTGTACCATTATTTTTTCTGTTTGTTTTTTTTTGCTGATTTTCAAAAATGTTATTTGGTACAATTATGATTCCGATTTTTTTCTAAGAGTTTACCCCCACTCTTCTCAGGGATAAATACAAAAAAATCGAGCGTACAAAAAAAAACAGAATTGTAGGAAATTTAATTTTAAACAACTTTGTTTATAACAATTTTTCTCGTAAAATTGAAAATAAACGAGTTATTCTATAACCAAAAATTCACCCCCTCTTTTCGGGTATAAATCGAAAAAAATCGATCGTACAAAAAAAAGCAGAATTGTAGGAAATTTAATTTTAAACAACTTTGTTTATAACAATTTTTCTCGTAAAATTGAAAATAAACGAGTTATTCTATAACCAAAAATTCACCCCCTCTTTTCGGGTATAAATCGAAAAAAATCGATCGTACAAAAAAAAGCAGAATTGTAGGAAATTTAATTTTAAATAACTTTTGTAAAAACTATTTTCCGTGTAAAATTGAAAATAAATGAGTTATTCAAGATACAAAAAATAACCCTTTAAATCAAGATGGCGGAGGTAACGACAACTTTGGAATCCCAACTTTTTGAATTTAGACTACCAGAGACCCCCTCCAACGAATTCCGAAGGAAAATTGCTGCTTCGAATTTTTCAGAATCTCAAGCCTGTTCTTCACCTAATCCGATTGGGCTATTTCCCAAACATACCTCCAAGCGGCGATCCAACGAGTCGAGCGTTCCCTTCCACTTCAGTAAGCGAGAGAGAGGGTATACCTTGCCAACCTGATGGATGTATTTTAGGTTTTAGACCATGCTTGACTTTTTATAAAGAATAACTTTTTTCCCAAAATTAATAATAAAAAAGATTTTCATATGCCGCTAATTTACGTAGACAGTTGGTGGCATAAGAAAGCTTTTTTATTACTATTTTTAGGAAAGAAAGTTGTTCTTTATAAAGAGTTAAGCATGGTCTAAAACCTAAAATACAACCATCAAATATCAAATTTTATCAGTCGTATAAAGAATAAAGGTACTTTACTCTTGAGTTAAACTCATATTTTTTGACAAACCTCGTATACCACTGAGAAAATTTGATATTTGATGACTGTATTCTAGGTTTTAGATAATGCAGAACTATTTATAAGGAATAACTTTTTTTCCTAAAATTAATAATAAAAAAGTTTTCCATATGATTCCAACTTAGGGGGACATACTGTATATCTTATATTTGTATTTATATAAAAAATTGTATTTTTATTATGGTAAACAAACTGTCTTTAATATTATTCAGAGTTACAAAATTATCCTGAGAGGCTTTTATTAATATTAGCTAATATTAACACAATCCATGTTTTAAAATTTACTTTTAATAATACAACTGCCGTAGATTCAGTATGTTTGCCTTTAAGCCAAAATTTTCTAGTTACGGCCCTGTTATGGCTTGAATAATGAGATAATGGCACTTATATCCTTTCAGACTAACTTATTCATCAATTTAACAAAACAAAAAATTAGGTTAATAAGTCAAGTGCAGGATTAGCAAGACTTGAAATGTGTCATTAAATTATGACGTTAAGAGCTAATTATGACTTTCTTATTCATGCTATCTAATTTTCTTGTATAATATTAAGAGCGTATAATGAGTTCCAACTGGCTTCAAACTGTACATTAAATACACATATCTTAATATATAATTATTATACAGAGTGAAGATTAGGTAAACTGTATGACAAAGAAAATATATTATTATCAAAGAGGAGGTAGAGGAATTAGAACCAAGAAAACTGTTTTAACTTTTCTAGTTTTTAAAGAGATTGTTAGATAAAGAACTAAAACCCGAATATGTGATGACATCGCCAACTTTGAATTTTATTGTTAGGAGAAAAAATTAAAAAACAAAACTTCATTATTTAATCAATATTTATTAATTGTATCTATCTACAATATGGATTATAAATTTAATATTTATTTATTTTAAGAATAAAAAAACTAAATCTAAAATGAATCAGTTTTTATTTAATTAAAAAATAGAAGCTCAAGATCAATACATCAAATTTTAAAAGTTAGGTCAATGTCAACTTAAATTTTATTTCTATTATTTTCAAGATTAATTTAAAATTAAATAAGTACCAGTGGCGCCTGGTGGTAATTTAAAATGGGTGTTCACCATTTCCAATAATTTTATCATTTGTAAATTCGTATCAAAACTTTGTACACGAGTCAATATCGCCGTTTTTTTATTATTTGAGTTTGTATTAAATGTAGTTATTATTATCAACATCATACTGTTTTCAAGCACTACAACTAATAATAAATGAATATTTTAGTTGGTGTAATATTTGTTTTGTTTTTAATACGTTGAAAACCATCTATAAACATTATTAGTTAGTAAACTGACTTTTCTTCATAATTTGAGATTATTTTTAAATATATATCAGGTTGTGTAAAAAATTTTATATGAAACTTTGCCTACAATTTTTTAGTTTTTATTGTAAGTTTAATCATTTTTACAATTTGTTACATTTGTCAAATAAAAAATATATTTATATATTGGCAAATAAAATAAGAATGTTTTAAATATTTATTTTATTAGTTTAGTCCCATCACAATACATAATATTAAACAGACACAAACTAGAATAAAGATATATAATGCCTGACATTCTAAATGATACTCTTCGCAGTTTAACAGACCCCCTTAACCCCCATTTTTAATCAGATTGTTTTCACAATCAATAGGCCCTATCTCCTTATAGGGCTTGATTTTTACTAAAAATTTCATGTTGATCGCTTTTCATTTTTGATTGTTTTTTAATTTCAACCCCTCTTAAATCCCTCATATTTAATCAGATTTTTTTTTATAATTAAAAGACTTCTCCTTTTAGAGATTGATGTTTTGCTAAAAATTTCAAGTTTATATCATTTTTCAGTTAGGATTTTTTTTTAATATATTTTAACCCCCTTAACTCCCCAATATATTCATATTTTTTTCAGTATCAATAGGCTTTATCTTCTTATAAAGCTTAATTTTTACTAAAAATTTCATGTTGACATTGCTTTTTGTTTTTAATTTAGATTTTTTTTTTAATTTCAACCCATCTTAACCCCCTATTTTTAATCAGATTTGTTAAAAATCAATAGGCTTTGTCCTCTTATAGAGATTGCGTTTTGCTTAAAATTTTCAAGTTGATATAATTTCTTGTTTTTGACTTATCGTGCAGACAAAAAACGTGACATCGGACAGACAGACAAAATAAACCTATAATACTCTTCACAGAATACTGTATGAAGAGTAGAAAAAGATGTATGTGGTACAATAAACAATTTAAGAAGGTCAACAATAATATTCAACTTCTTTTATCAAAGGATACTAAAAGTTTGAAATAGCAGCACATAAGTTGA